TAATTACTATTGGAAAATGCTTGTCATTCCTCTGTAGCATCTGGTCCCCACTGGACCCTCATCATTTCCTTCACCTGCTCCCCCCACCGACCAAACTGTGCAGCTCTGCAACTGCATCCCTGCCCATCCTCACCCTTCTGCCCCCAACCCTCACCTCCTTGTACCCCCAATATGTTTTTCCCAATAAAAGAAAAGAAAACAAAACAAACAAACCAGTACACTTTGTAAACACACCCAAACCCAAATAAAACAAAATTGTATTTATCATGATCTACAATAACAACCACCACCAAATTTTTGGGAAAATGGGGAAGCAGGTACTTGTGATGATTGGACACCATGATATGCATAACTCTTGCCACTGCCTTGTACGTGAGATGGGTGTTGAAACGGTGAATCATTTGTCACATAGGTTTTCACAACAATAAAAAGAATTAATAAGATGTTTAGATAGCTTCTGGTCCTCAGGCAGAGAAGTTGGATTAGTCGATGGCACATTCTCATTTGTGACTCATACACAATCCTTCGCGCTCTGTTTATTTCACCCCTTTTAATCTCTAGTCCCTTCTGTGACCGTGTTATCGCTGTGTATCTTCCACTGTTGTTATTGTTTCCCCTCGTGTAGCTTCTCTTACTCTCATTATCATTGTGTATCTTGTGCTGTGATCTTGATCGTTTGTGTATTCTTGGCTCTAATCTTTGTGGTTCTATCTTTTGCTGCTACCTTTATTGTTATGTGCCTTCCTGCTCTTGTCTTTTTTTTATTGTGTATCTTTGTGTTGCCAATCCACTGCTCAACCTTTCCAACAGCCCCTGGGCTTCAGTTAGTAACAGATAAAGAAATGGAAACTTACAAAAGAAAAATAAATCATGACATAATAATAAAAAAAAAACCCAAAAAACCTTTCCATGGGTGTAACTCTTTAGTGACAGCGTCCTCACTGAAAGTACCCAGGGTGGTGGGTACTTATCCTCGTTCTACAGATGTCACTAGTTTCTCTAATGTCACTGCAAACCTCTCTCCCTGGGCTATCTGGGTGGGTCTCTCCATCTTTGCTTTCATCCTGGTTCAAGTCATCCCTCACTTATTTCTCGCCTCATCATCTCAGGAGACCCACTTCCTAACTGGTCTCCCCTCATTGTGCCCTCTCACTTCCTTCTCTTCACCTTCTGTCATGGGTCTCTTGCACCACAATAACAGAATTACCATAAGAGGGTGGCTTTAACAAGCGGAAATCCATTCTTTTGCAGTTTAGAAAGCTGTTGTTGTTGTTGTTATGTGCTGTCGAGTCACTTGCGACTCATAGCGACCCTATGTACAACAGCCCTAAACTCCGCTCTGTCCTGTGCCAATCACACTGTCTTTGACACTCCCACCCCGATTAACCCAGTCACTGAATCAATCCACCTCATAGAGGGTCTTTCCCTCCTGCACTGTCCCTCCACCCTCCCAAGCATGATGTCCTCTCCAAGGACCGGTCTCTCCTTACAACACGTCCAAAGTATGTTAGACAGAGCCTCAGAATCCAAGGGAGCCACTTGGTTTCACCCTTTCCAGGATGAATCTGTTTGTTTTCCTAGCAGTCCATGGTATTCTCAATACTCTTCTCCAGCACCCCAGCTCAAAGGCATCAATTCTCCTTCTATCCTCCTTGGTCATTGTCCAACTCTCTGATGCATAACAAGCTAGAAGTCCAAATTCAAGATATAATCTCTAGGGGATGTGCCCCCATGTATGTCTTCTCGCTCTTCTTCTGTCTTTCCTCAAATGTCACCATCTCAATTAAATTTTCTTCTCTGATCATCACCTTTAAAAGGCAATCACCTCCAACCCAATATCCCCAATTTTTTGCCCATGGTTTTTTGTTAAGGAATCTTGGTGGCTTCACCTCTAACCCAGTATCCCTTATTTTTTTGTCCATGGTTTTTCTTAAAGGAATCTTGGTGGCACAATGATTAAGCCCTCAACTGTTAACTGAAAAGGTCAGCAATTCAAACCCACCAAACACTCCACGGTTGAGAGAACTGGGCATCAATTCCCATAAAGTTTACAGCCTTGGGAAGTCAATGGGGAAGGAAGGTCCTCTACATCAGACGAGCCACTAAGAGCTGACATTCACTCAACTATAAAGCGTTGCCTTCCACAGCCTATTTCATTATTCCTGTTTTAAATTCTTTATCTCCCCTAAAGAAGATAAGTTCTACAAAGGCAGACTTTTTTTTCTGTTGAATTTACTTTTTAAAAAAATTTTATTATTTTTGTGTGAGTATACCATCAAATCAGATCTGACTGGTACAGGAGGAGATTGTCCCTCCTTCCCCGGCAGAGCATCTGGTGGATTTGAACTGTGCACTTCTGGGATTGTAGTTGCAACTCCCGACACTAGACCACCAGAGCTCCCCGAATTTACTTTTAAAGTTACACATTGTCGACTTTTGTACATATGGCATAAGCTGCCTTTCTTTCCTTCTCCCTATTCTCTCTCTTGACTCCTTTCAACTCCATAGATTTATCTCTCTTAGATAGTTCAAATAAGTGAGATCATGCAATAAACCAAACAATCTCATTTGCTGTCAAGTTGATTCTGAATCCATAAAGTTTTCTTTTCAAGGAGACAGACACCAGAAATCAATTCGAGCCTCCTACTTGCCCTTCGTACCTCCAAGGAACTTTGCTGTTGTTATGTGCTTTTGAGTGAGACTCACGCATAGATGACCCTCGAGTTGGTTTCCAAAGACAACAAATTATATGGGAGAAGATTGTCCACCATTCTTCTGAGCTGGTAGATTCGAAGTACCAGCCTTTAGGTTGACAGCACAATTCCTTACTCACACGGCCACCAGAGCACGCTCAAGAATATGGATCATACTGTATTTGTCATTTCAGTCACTTTTTTAACCAGTGTCTGTATTAGTGTCTGAATCATAAAAGAAAAGAAGTTTTTGTGGGATAAATAAGTAAAATTGCCAGCACTTAATACGCATCTGATGAAAGAAAAGAATGAATGCAACTCTGCAAATTTGAGCGCTCACGATTAATGTCCTAAGGTCGTGTTTTATAGGAACTCACGCATATAACTGTCAAAGGAGCCCTGAAGGGGCAAGTAGTTAAACACTCTCAGTTGCTAACTGAAAAGTCAGCCAGTAATTAGCACTCATCATCAACTCATCATCGTAAAAACGCTCGGAGGGGACACGAAGAGCTCCTTTTTACAGAGGAGCAGAGAGATTATGAGTTTTATGAGTTACTCAAGGTCATAGACTTGGTTGTTGTTGTTGTTATGTGCCATCGAGTCACTTGCGACTCATAGCGACCCTATGTACAACAGCCCTAAACTCCGCTCTGTCCTGTGCCAATCACACTGTCTCTGACACTCCCATCCCGATTATCCCAGTCACTGAATCAATCCACCTCATAGAGGGCCTTCCCCTCCTGCGCTGTCCCTCCACCCTCCCAAGCATGATGTCCTTCTCCAAGGACCGGTCTCTCCTCATCACAACATGTCCAAAGTATGTTAGACGGAGCCTCAGAATCCTTGCCTCCAAGGAGCCACCCGGTTTAACCCTTTCCAGGATGAATCTGTTTGTTTTCCTAGCAGCCCATGGTACTCTCAATACTCTTCTCCAGCACCACAGCTCGATTGGTAGACACCAAGTAAACACTCCAGGGACTTAGCACTACATTTTAGGATCACAGGCAATAATGTAACAACAACAACACTACTTATCAAAGACAGATATTAATGGAGTAGAAACCAAAGCAAACATTTGTTGTGCAAAAGGGTCTAGTTACAGAGGCTCTTTTGGTACCAAAACTCATCACTCGAAAATCTAGTGCGATGTTAATCCTTAGCAGGGAGAGGAGTCCCAAGAAATGGTGTTAGCAGAGGCAGAACAACAACAGACTACAGGATGGAGTTGTTATTGTTGTTGTTAGGTGCCATAGAGTTGTAGATGACTCATAGTGACCCTATGAATGAAAGACCTGAGCACTGTTCATAGAGTTTCCAGAGGCAAGCCATTTCAGAAGTGGATACCACTCCTGCTTCCAAGCTTGTTTTAATCGGGGAGCTCAGCAAACACTGTCCACCATGGGTAACCATTCTCGCATTTGACACATCAGTGTCACAGTGTTTAGCATCACAGCAACCATGAGTTCCCTCTGTACAGCAAATGCACAGACCAGTGCTATACTACTTAAAAGAATGTTTGACAAAAACAGGATATTTGGTTCAAACAGGATATTTGGTTTAAACTCAGCAGAAAAGCCATGACTGGGATGGGAGGGATGGTGGGTGTTGGAATTGGTAAAATGGTTGGAGGGTGGAGGCATGTATAACCTCCCAGGAGCCAGCTTGGGGCTATTGCAATTGACCTTGATCTTTCTCTCCCCCTTGTAAAGTGACAGGAGGTCGGATCATGCCCTTAGACCTTTTTTCACTGCCCTGTAGGGTTTTGTAGACTGACATCCTTGGTGAGTTCAAACCATAGACCTTTTGGTTAGCAGATGAGCACTTAACCATTGCACCACCAGGACTTCTAAGACCTTGTTAGTCATGTTGAAACATTGAGGAGAGCTGGACTATTGTTTAGGTTGGAAACACTCAAGGAATTGGAATGTTTAAGGGACACAATGTTCGGAAGACCACTTGTTGGCAGTGACAAATGCTTCTGAAAAATGCAAGGATGGAATGTTTTGGGTTAGGCAGAAAAAGATGGGGAGGTACTGAGGAAGGAGGGAATGGAGATGGAAGGAGGTGAGGAAATGAGCCGACTTTATTACGAGTCCTTCATCCCTTTGCGTTCCTCCGTTTTGTGTTTCCTGATTGTCTCCCGGATCCACGTGATATACTGAGAAACTCTCGTGTAGACACCAGGTCGGTTGGGCTGCCCACAGGGGAAGTCTCCCCAGGAGATGATGCCATGGAGGGTACCGTTGCAGACCAGGGGGCCTCCGGAGTCACCCTAAATGGAGGGAGAGAGAGACGTGAGGTCTTTGCTGGGGATGAACCAAGGCAGAAAGAGAAGGATTTAAGGACGAATGAAAGTTGGAGAGAGGGACACACAGATGGTGGAATACAGAGAGAGGCTGAGAGGCGGCATGAGAGCCAGAGGCAGAGAGATGAGAAGATAAACAGTGAGGAGACAGAGACAGAGAGACTGAGAAAGTGGCAGAGAATGAGATACCCTCCACCCACTACCCAATCCCACTCTTATACCTACTCCATGAAAGACAGATAGAGACATATAGAGGGAGGGGAGAGAGAGAGAGTGGAGGTAGAGGAGGAAGAGTACGGGAGAGGGGAGAGGGAGATGGGAGAAGGGGAGGGGGAGGCGAGATGGACAGGAGAGGGAGGGGGAGGGGAGAGGAAAAGGGGGAAGGAGAGGAAGACGGGGAAGGAGAGGAAAAGAGGGAGAGGGCAATGGAGAGAGAGATGGATAGATGAATAGGCAGATGGATGGATGGATGGATGGATGGATGGATGGATGGATGGATGGATGGAGAGAGACAGATTGAGATAACTGAGAGACAGAGAAATGAGAAGTGGTCTCTCTCTGTCTCTCTCTCTCTCACTCTCTCCCTTTGTCTTATGAGAGTTAGGACAGCTTGTCTCACCTGTTCTTAGAGTTTACCCAATATACCTGCTCTTAGAGTTTGCCTTATGTATTTGTTCTATTCTTGGTTCTCCGGCATCAAAACCCACCCTGGATCCCTAGTACCAGCTAACCCTGATCCAAATTTATTTTTCCTTAGTGGCGTCCTGCTCTTAGGAATCCCTGGTAGCACAGCGGTTAAGACACACAGTTGCTAACCAGAAAAGGTTGGTGGTTTGAACCCACCCAGCGGCCCCATAGGAAACCCTAGTGGTTTCGTCAACATGGAGTTCCACTGCTAACCCCAAAGTGGTGCCTTTCTGGGTGTTCGAATCCACTAGTGACTCCATGACCCATAACAACAGCATCAGACAGCAGGTATGGCCTGGATGTTAGTAACCCAGGGACTGACCGCCTGTATATAATTCCACGATTATTCCCGCCCCCCACAGTTATGGCTCAGGGATGGCTATATGCTTCGAGTTAGAGTCATGCTCAAGACTTTTGTGTAAACTGTTAAGAGAGAGATGTTCGCTTTCCCCAGTAGAGCTGTTTGTCATTGTTGTTAGGTGTTGTTGAGTCGGCTTCAACTCCGATCAAGTCTATGCACAAGAGATAGAAACCGCCTGAGCCTGTGCCGTCCTCACAATCTCTCCTGTGTATGAGTCCCTGATTGCAGTCACTTGGGACCGTTCCTGTCTCATTGAAGGTCCTTCTCTACTTCATTGACCTTCCATGTTTTCAAGCAATTATATTTTTCCCCATGCTCGGTGTACATGAGATGAAGGCTCACTTCAGAAACATCAAAGTTGCCTTACTATTCACCCCGATAACCACAGCCTTCTGTGAGATCTAATATCGTTCTGAGGCACCACAGTCATTACTAACCTCCTGTCTGCAATCCCCGACATTGGAACGACCCTTGTAGAAGGAATCTGAGGAGGTTTCTCCACTGACAAAGCCACAGTAATCTGATCTATTTTTTTTCTTTTTTGGCTTTCCATTTCCTTTTCCTTTTTATTATCGCAGTGGTTCACCTCTTATTTCCTCACAAGCAGGCTCTAATAACCCCCCAGGATTAATCTCCCATTCAGACAAAATCCCATCCCACCCGTATTCCACCATTAAAGATCTACTAGGGGTGTCCCTGCCTCTCCCATTCCGGCTTCTTCTTTTTTTTTAAATTTTATTATTTTTGTGTGCGTGTACCGTCAAATCAGGAGGAGATTGCCCCTCCTTACCCGGCAGAGCATCTGGTGGATTCGAACCGTGCACCTCTGGGATTGTAGTTGCAGCTTCTTGCCACTAGGCCACCAGAGCTCCCCTCCATTCCTGCTTCTGAGCACCCCTTCTACCTACACTTCCTCTGAGACAGGTTTCATTGTCCTTTCGACTATGCATGGTGTATTTAATGTAGTTGGGGAATACGATATAAATCGTAGCATATTGAATATGCTGTGGTTGCTGTTGTTATATGTTATTAAGTTGCCTGTAACTCATTAACAACCCTGTGTACAACAGCTCTGAACCCTGCTCTCTCCTGTCCCAGTCTTATTGTCTCTAGCACACCTACTCTCATTACCCCAGTCACTGAGTCAGTCCATCTCACCGAGGGTCTTCCTCTCTTGCGCTGTCCCTCCACCCTCCCAAGCATGAAGTCCCTCTCCAAGGACTGGTCCCTCCTTGCAACATGTCCAAAGTATGTCAGACCAAGCTTCAGAATCCTTGTCTCCAAGGAGCAGCTTGGTTTCACCCTCTCCAGGACGAACCTGTTTGTTCTCCTAGAAGTCCACGTTCAGTGCTTTTCTCCAGCACCACAGCTCAAAGGCATCAATTCACCTTCTATCATCCCTAGTCATTGTCCAGCTCTCATACTATAGTCAAGATGTTTAAAACACCACTCTTGTTGCTTGCAATTCCAAATCAGAATGATCTTTTATTATGTTTGCCCTCCAAGGCTGTAAATCCTAATGAGAGGAGACTGCCCATCTTTCCCCAAGGAAGCTGCTAGGCCGTGTTGCCAATGCATAAGAGTTGTTGTTGTTGTTGTTGTTGTTGTTGTTGTTGTTGTTGTTGTTATGAGCCATCGAGTCACTTGCGACTCATAGTGACCTTACGTGCAACAGCCCTAAACCCTGCTCTGTCCTGTGCCAACCTCACTGTCTCTGACACACCCATCCTGATTACCCCAGTCACTGAACCAACCCACCTCATAGAGGGCCTTCCCCTCCTGCGCTGTCCCTCCACCCTCCCAAGCATGACATCCCTCTCCAAGGACTGGTCCCTCCTTACAACATGACCAAAGTATGTCAGACGAAGCCTCAGAAGCCTTGCCTCCAAGGAGCCGCCTGGTTTAACCCTCTCTAGGATGAACCTGTTTGTTCTCCTAGCACTCTTCTCCAGCACCACAGCTCAAAGGCATCAATTCTCCTTCTATCCTCCCTAGTCATTGTCCAGCTCTCTGATGCATAACAAGTGATTGCAAAGACCATGGCATTAAAAAACCTATGCGTAAGAGTATAATAGATAATTAAGCTGAAACAGAAGAGAGAGCTGCTGAGATGTAGAGACAGAAAACTCAAAACATTTGAGTACAGATAGTCGTCTGTCCCTGGAGCCAGACACCCTTGGATTCTCAGTTACAAAACTCAGGTTTTTTTCTTCCCTCAGCCACTTTGAATTGGTTGGAGTTGCTGTTTTTTTAAAAAGCAAGTTTGAGTCCAGGTTCTGTCTCTTACAATCAGAAGAATCTCAAGCTTTACACATCTCAGCACAAGGATCTGAACAACATCCACCAGGCAAAAGCTGTTGTTTAAAATGAGTTCTATCTTCCATCTGTGCGTAATGTTAGTCTTGACTGCCTGATGCTACAGCGGCACTTCGTCCCACAGTGATGGGTTCTTCCAAAACTGGAAGCAGCCCTTTCCTTCTTCCAGCTCCCCCCACCCTGTGCACCTGTTCCTCAACTCCGTTCTAGATTTCCATCCCGGTCCACGGCAATCCACCAGCTCCATGGTCTCACCTCACAGGAATCCTTGCCACCCTCTTTCGTGCCTGCACACAGCATGTTGCTAGTGATCCTCCCGGGATAGACCTCCCGGCACTCCTCATCTGAACGCAGCTGGATGTTGGCACACTGCAAGGTCTTGGGGTAATTCACTGGGGAGGAAAGAGAAGGTCTAAGTCGATCTGTTCTGGAAAGACTCGGGGGAGGTGAAGGCTAAATAGGAGTATTGCTTGGGCAGAATGTTGGCTGAAAGTAGAGGTAGGAAGAGAAAGATGGGAGAAGAGACGAGGCGTGTTGTTGGAGAAAGTAATGGGAGCAGAACATGATGTGAGACTAGTGGAGCGACAGATGGGAAGAGGTAAGGCAGGAGACTGACAGGGAGAGAAATAAATGGGTGAACAGATAGATGAGGGTGATGGAGTGAGAGATGGGGAAATAAAGTTGGAGAAAAGAAGTTGGGAAGAAATAGAATGATAGATGGTGATACACAGAGAGAGAAGCAAGATGGAGAAGAGACTAGAAGAAAAGGTGGAAAGAGATCTGAGTGTTGGAAAGAATGATGGGAACGGAGATGAGTATATGGAGGACAATATGGAAATGAGACCCGGAGAGAGCTTAGGGTTGCCAGAGACACGCCAAGGGCTCTTGATAATAGAAGGGGCTCCTCCTCCACCTTCCCCCCCATATCCCTGCTCCAGTCCTCTTACCCACCACCCTCATCAAGTCTATGAGTCTTCAGGCCAGTGTATTGCAGGAGCATACCCTGGGGACTGGTGGTAGTGCCCCAACCAGACACCCGGCAGCAGGTTCCAGGGGGCAGGCAGTTGTTGTGGGAGAGAGGCAGGACGCGGATGTGACGTGTGAGCTGCACTGGGGACTGGAGCTCCAGAAGCATGATGTCATGGTCATGGTTGAGGTGGGTGGGGCTGCTCTGGTATTCAGGGTGGGGGATAGAGCGGACTACCTCACTCACCTGCTCACCGGCCTCCACACGCCCCAGGGCGTGCTTGCCCAGGTAAACTTTGTACCCGCTGTGGGTGAAGGAAGAGGTGATGAGGGGAGGGGGAGAACGGTGACCCCCCCTCCCTCCTCCATCTTCATCTTAGCCCTGCCCTCAGCCTCATCTCCAATCGAAGCCCACCCCATCCCACTTCTGCCACCACCACCCCCCAAATATCAGCTGCATCTCTCTCCTCATTCCCAAATCCAATCCCGTCAGAGTCTCTCCTTCACCTCCTTATTTGGGCTAGATCTCCACACCAAAGTGTACTCAATGCCAAGCCCTTCCCCAAGGCCATTGCTAACCCTATCCTGAATCCTAGATCCACCCTCACCCACCGCCCCAGTCCCATTCTCATCCCCACCCCATGTTTCCCTGTCCCTCACGTACTCCTTCAGACAATGTGCCGCAGTGAGGACCCATTTGGGGTGGACTAGGACGCCCCCACAGAGCAGCCGCCCTCTCACTAGTAGGGCCACCTGCCAGGGCTGGGAGTGGGGCAGGCAGGTGTAACCGCCTGGGAGAAATCCGCTGGTCCCGTTGGTGCCATTCAGAATCTTGGGGTATCCCTGAGAGATGCCTGTTGGAGGAGAGAAATTGGTAGAAAAATGTTATCCGTGGAAGAGGAGGAAGCTTGGAGTTGGGGTTCCTGGGTTTGGGGAAAGGGTCCAAATTTTCCTCTGAGTGACCAGGAACTGGGGATTCATTTATTGGGTCTTGTCATTTCTCCCTCCAGAAGAGATGAGTCAAAGTAAGGGAGGCAGTTTCCTTTTCTGCAGAAATGCCAAATTCTACAACAGGGACTCAGAGGAAAGTTCAAGAAGTGAGGACATATCTTCTAGAAAAGTAGAAGCTTGACTTTTCCCTACCTGCATCTTCACTAACCCTTTCCATAGAGGAGTAGATTTCATAAGGCACAAGGGATACTGGCTTATAAATGTACCCAAGCAGCCTCCATCCATTGTCTCATCTACTTATTTATCTGAACTTCCGGGCCAACAGCTCAGTAGCTATCCACCACTCGACTACCATCCACCCATGGAACCACACACACAGATCCATCTAGCGATGCAGCTAACATTTCAGTCCACATTCACTAAGCACTTCTACAGTTTTGGGGGAGCCCTGTTGGTACAGCCCATCAGGATCTGTGCTGCTAATCCCCAAAGTGGTGCCTCTCTTCTGGTTTAAAGCCACCGGTGGGTCCTTGGGAGAAAGATAGGCAGTCTCTTCCTATGTGATATGTTGTTGTTATGTGCCGTCGAGTCGCTTGCGACTCATAGCGACCCTATGTACAACAGCCCTAAACTCTACTCTGTCCTGTGCCAATCGTACTATCTCTGACACTCCCATCCCGATTACCCCAGTCACTGTATCAATCCACCTCATAGAGGGACTTCCCCTCCTGCACTGTCCCTCCACCCTCCCAAGCATGATGTCCTTCTCCAAGGACCGGTCCCTCCTCACAACATGTCCAAAGTATGTTAGATGGAGCCTCAGAATCCTTGCCTCCAAGGAGACACCCGGTTTAACCCTTTCCAGGAAGAATCTGTTTGTTTTCCTAGCAGTCCATGGTATTCTCAATACTCTTCTCCAACACCACAGCTCAAAGGCATCAATTCTCCTTCCATCCTCCTTGGTCATTGTCCAACTCTCTGATGCATAGCAAGTGATTGCGAAGACCATGGCCTGTATCAGATGCACCTTAGTCTCCAGAGAGACATCATTGCTCTTCAGTATTTTGGAGAGGTCCCTAACAGCAGACTTTGCCATGGCAATGCGCCTTTTAATTTCCTGGCTGCTGGTGCCAAGACTGTTGACTGTGGATATACAGCCTTTAAAACCCACTGAAGTGTCAGTTTTATGACGGTTCTGATTTGATGGCAATGAGGTTGTGTCCCTGCCTTGAAATGCTACTACTCATAGGCTACCAAACCCCAAATACAAACTCATTGCCACCGCATCATTTCTTGCTCTAGAGAAGACAGAGTAAACGGCTATAAATCTGTGCATAAGGAGACTGTCTTAGTGTTCTCCTGTGGAGCAGCTGGTGGGTTTGAACCATTGACCTTTTGATTAGCAGCTATTTCACCACTGAACCACCAGGACTCCCTATCCTTAGGGTAACTGTTTCCAAAGTCACATCTTCACCCCTGAGCTCTTGATCTAAACTTTAAACACCAATACTTCTGTGTCTCTGAAGCATCTTAAACTTCATGTCTGCAGTTTGAATTTTGCGACTGAAACGGCTTCTTCTTGGGTATTTCTGAGCTTGGTGATCGATTCAAAACTTAGGAGTCATCCTTGCTTCGTCTCTTTCTTTCATCTTTCATGGCGTTCTTTTTTCCCCCCAAGTACTCACCATCTTTTTAATTCTTTCCAGCTGCCACCATCCTGGTCCCTGTTACCATGTTTTCTAGCCCAAGCAACTGTACCATCAGACCAATATCCAGCTCGCTGTGACCTCATATGTGTGAGAGTAGAATGGTCTGCTGTAAGGTTTTCAATGGCAGGTTTTTCAGTAGGAGATTGTCAGACATAGCTTCTGAGGTGCCTCTGGGTGGACTTGAACTGCCGACCTTTTTCGTTTAGCAGTTGAACATATGAGTCATTGGCATTATACAGGAACTCCAAATGAGTGCGAGAGTCTTCTAAGTGATCCCACCTGCACGTCTCTCCAATGAACGCTTCTTAAAGCAACAAGAAGGATCTTTAGGGAACTCTGGTAGCCTAGTGGCAAGAAGCTGCACGGCAATCCCAGAGGCACGCGGTTCGAATCCACCAGATACTCTGCTGGAGAAGGAGGGGCAATCTCCTCCTGTACCTATCAGATCCGATTTGACAGCGCGCACACACAAAATAATAAAAAGAAAATAAATGTAAAGAGAAGAAGGATTTTTGAACAAGGAAAGTCCCAGGCTTAATGCCCTGCTGTGGCTTCTTATAGAGGAAAATATAGAGCCTTTCCAATGTCTGCAGGGCTGTTCATCATCTGCCTACTGCCAGCCTCTCTGACAACCGTGTTCCACCTCTGATGCTTTCACTCCATCTCTTCCAGCTCCTTGTACGTCTGCAAACACAACAAGCCTGAGAACCTGTGTCCTCTCTGCTGCCTCGTAAAGCTCCTTCTCTAGATTTGCACTGTCCCTTAGCAAAGTTCTGGTGCCTTAGTGCTAAGGAGTTGCACTGCCAACCCCGGGGCAACTTGCTTCGAATCTATTAGCAGCTCCGCTGGAGAAAGATGGGTAACCCCCTCCTGCGTGATTCACTGCCTCTGAAAACCTGCTGGAGGAGGGTCAGCTAGGAGTTGCTTCCAACTCAACAGCACACAACAACAACAACAACAACAATGTGGTAGCCACTAACCACATGCACTATTAGAACAGAAGGGAATTAAAATGAAACAAACTTTTCAAATCTGTTCATCCCTTTTCACCACTTTTCAAATGCATACTAGGTTCATGTGACTTCTTTAATTTATTGACACCTAAGTCTCCCCCTGCCCGCCCTGTCTTCTCATCATGACCATAAATTCCAGTGAGAACAGATACAGCAGGTGCTCCACTCAGTGTCACGTCCCCAGAACCAAGCGCAGCACCTGGAACAGTTGCTGTTGTTGTTTTTATGTGCCATCGAGTCATTTGCGACTCATAGCGACCCTATGTACAAGAGCCCTAAATGCAGTTCTATCCTGTGCCAACCTCGCCGTCTCAAACACATTCATTCCCATCACTCCACTCCGAATCGATCCATCTTATCGAGGGTCTTCCTCTACTGTGCCATCCCTCCACTCTCCCAAACATGATGTCCCTCTCCAAGGACCAGTCCCTCCTTGCAACATGTCCAAAGTATGTCAGACGAAGCTTCAGAATCCTTGGCTCC